AAGGACCCTGTGGCTGGCGGAAAAATGTCCGTCAGGTTTGATCCATAATATAATATACATACTTTGGAGTCTTCAAGCGGATGTGCATAGCAAGGCAGAACCCCAGGATGCACCTGCACCTTCTCTAGCTTGCTGCCCGGGGCAGGTGCTGGTGGGGCGCCTTCGTCCATGGCGGAGGAGTGCTCTGGCAGCTGAGGGTTCTGCTGACCGCTTTAAATGGCAGCGAAAATTCCATGTCTGGAAAGTATAGGAAGGCAGGCAAAGAGAAGGCATGAGAAGCGCCTTCAACCCTACACACATAGTCACCGATATCAAACAACTGTCACCATTATTGACAATCAAACAACGATGCAAATTCTCTATCGATGCAATGCCTCCAAAAGCTGTTTCAGCAAAGCACTTTTCTTCCCTCAGCCTTGTTCCTCCGTCTACTTCTATGAGACTCTTCCTTGCAAGAATCGAGCAGAAGGATACAGCATTCCGTCCGGGATCATCGGTAGGACTTCTGGAAGCGAGCACGGGCAGAGCGACCTACCCCCAGGGTCACAAATGAACTTTGCACAATACGCACATTTATTTCTGCAGCTTGCTTCTGCTGCTGCTGTTGTACGATGCTCCACGTGTTGTCCAAAATGGGAGTGCATCTGAACAGTGCCAACAAACCAATGACACACTCAGTCCCTGCAAGTAGGTTCAACGAAGTTTTACCCAAAGTTTCCCTTCCAGCCTCCGAACTTCTTGGGCTCACAACGCCGAGGATCAGCCACAATCAATGAACGATCATAGGCCATGAGGATGTCCTCGAAAGAAAGCCCAGCTCAGGCAGTCTGCAGAGAATGAACGAACTGAACATCTTCAAAGGCCTGTCCTTGATCTCCTTCTTGGATGCCTCATCGATGTACTTCTGGTAGTATGCCACGATGCCCTTTGCGATGGCCTGCCAAGGTCTCTGCTAAGACAACTCTTTTGCTTATAAAATCGTTTGAGTGCTAAGTTCCAGCATCAGGAGCCGGTCACTCAATCCCAACTTGTAGTCATATTAAAAGAATTGTCATTCTCATGTTCCCTCTCTCTCTCTCTATCTCTCACACACACACTGGTGTCATTTACAATGAGATAAGATAAAGCTTGCTACTCCATGACTCAACATTGCCTGTCGCAGTGCATAGATCTGCCCAGTGAAACCTCCTCCTTTTACTCGCAGGCGGATGTCCACCTGAAACATGTTGGTGACAGCAGGATAGGAGTCTAAGAGAATCATTCAATGCACAATTCACCCACCTTGCTGCAGCGGTCCTTGCCCAGGAGTAGGAGAGGCTCGTAGACCTGAAAATCAACAAGTGAATAATAGCAAAAGTGTTTGGACCTCCTCCTGATCCCTTGCCTTGACCCGGAGAATGTCGGGTTTCACGGTGTGCAAAGGGCAACCGTTCAGGCGCACCTGTACAACCACATTTCAGCATTGCATTGGTCAAACCCATAGTGCCATAGTCCGTAGAACTTGATTGTGGTTCATTCTGCTTCAACCAAAGCTGCCGTTGGCCGGCCTGACCGCTGCCAGTGCGGACCAAGGCGACCGCAACGGCAGTCTTCTTGCGGCCGAAGCACTGGGCACACGAGGCACACGAGGCACACGAGTCAATGAGGAGGTTGGGACAACTGCTACAGTTGCAAAAGGCCCATTGCAAAAACATGCTACAAGCATCCAAGCTTTATAAATTACATAGTTTGGAGTCTTGACAAGAGGTCTGCTAAGGGACAAAAGCGTCCAAACAGGCATCTTCATTGCAATGGGCAGTGATGGGACGTTTGATGTCTTGCAAAGGTGACCGATGCACCTGCACCTTCTCTTGCTTGCTGCCCGCGACCGGTGCTATTGGTGCACCTTCCTCCATGGCGCTGAGGGTATGTTTCTTCGGCTCCCGCTGTTTCGAATGGCAGCAGTCACACCACAACAAGGTCTGCATTGCAGGATCGGCAAGCATGTCTGCATCACCCTGAAGTCATCGACTCTCCCTTCCACCATCATTTAAGAAAGAAAGACTGCATCTACTGGATCCCTCAAAAACTGTACAAAGATTATCAGAGATTGTATCTAGGTTTAGCCCCTTTTGAGGAGGCTGCCTAAGTGGTCATTTAGAGGCTTAAGTGGCCTCAATCTGGGATCTCAAAGGATCACTGGGTCACTTTGAAGAACCAGTCGGTGGTTTCTTCGAGAACATGTCCGGATTGACCGTGTATTTTAGAAGCATCGAGTGTCTGAGACCAACCCAGGTTGTTGTCCCACTGTTCGGAGCTCTTCTCCAAACACGAAGAGACATGAGCTGCAAAACGCTTCTTTGTTAGACCTCAGAATCGTTGTCCATCGCCGGATCAACCTGGCAACGAAACTTGAGTCTTCAAGTAATGCAAGAAATACATGCATACATACAATACAATACAATACAATGATGCAATACAACACATTACAATCATTACATTATATAGACTACTATACATACATAACTACATTAAACATCATTGAACACAGATAAATACCGCTATTGTATCAGATTGTATCATAATTGTATCATATTGAGGCCAAAGTAACCTGTGGATGTAGTCACTTTGATGAAGCATTCTGTCTTCATTCCAGACATTCCGGTAGTCAGTCGGATCAATCATCCATCATCCCAAGTAGAGGTTAAACAGAAACAACTCCAAAAATAAAACAAACAACAACCCTTCAACGCACGGCAAGGCCCCACTCTGCCTGGCCCCACTTCATCCGATCTTCCAAAGGTCCCTCTTTGGCCTGTCGGACGTTGGCACTGGCATGCGCGAAGCGCGCGCGGTGCCGGTGGTCTGATCCAAGGAGTGATGCTGCTGAGAACTCAGAAAACACATTGACCATCATTGACCTCACCTCCTTACCCCGACTTGATCCAACGCAAAAAACGTTTTCAGAGGCCTTCCTAGCCCTTGACCTTCATGGTGTGGGGTACTGGAAGTTGCGCCCACCTCCCGAAGACATAGCTGGGCACGGGGCAAGGCCAGCAAGCAAAGGCATACACCCGCCAAGCATCCTTCAACTCCTGCCTGGCCAAACGTGGCACTGCTTCTCTCTGGCCAAACTCGGCTGCAGCTATGATGGGTTTAGCGGTGTCGAACAGGGAAAAAATCACGCGTCCAAAAATCATTGGGTCGTTTTCGTCGGAGTCTGCTTGTCTGTCTCGAACCAGCACCATGTCACTGTCCTCCATGCTGGGCCGTGATGTGATGCTAGACTCTAGACACCCAAACACGACCCGTCTGGGACTGCCATAGGACTGCCGCCCCATTGACTCCTGATTCAACCACCCCAGCTGGGGCGGCAGTCCGAACTGGCAGTCCCATGAGTCGTGTCTGGGACATGTCAAAACCGTCTCATCCCGTCTCAGGACCCGCCTCAGTGAGTTTCTCCAATGACGCTTTGTAGGCCACCGAAGCTAAGGACAGTAACAGAATCCCCAGCAAGCCCACCTGCACGATGGAAGGTGCTCCCCCAAAGAAGAAAACTCACCATGAAAATCATGATAAATGTCCAGTACATCTTCACCCTTCTGCATGTTCAATGCAAATCATCCCCGACTTTGGATACAAATTGAAGTTCGACCGCTCAAGTGTCTTGTTGCAAGCCTGAACCCTGACAAGAAAGACCAAGAACAACCAACGAATCACAGTAAAAAACCAAAAGCGCCTCAACACCAATCCAACCCAAATCCACCCGATCCCGATCCCCAACGGCGCCTCAACCTGCTGCAAGGTCTGCTCCTCTTTGCGCAGCACTGCAGCATATCGTCTCAGCCTGTCGATCCGGTCGATCCGGTCGATTCCGGAGCTGCACAGTGCCGCGCCGCACACCGCGTCGATCGCGTTGGTGCGGTGCCGGGCGCCCGTGCCGGTACACCGAGGCGCACAGCAGAGCGGCCTGGATGGAAACGCGGTACCGAGCGGCGGTACCGCGGTACATAGCCAGTATACAAACACGACTCATGGGACTGCCATATATATGCCTACAAACCACCCCAATGTAAGCATATACCTGGATCCTCCTTTGGGCGGAAAAAAGTGCCGGCCTCAATCCGGCAACATTTTCCGCCGGATTCCGAAAAAAAGGCCGGAGACCTGAAAAACATCCGGATCCAAGATTCTGAAAAACAGAGATGATAAAAGGTTGGATCATACACAAGGAAATTGCCTTTGCGCCGCGAGTAGTTCTTCTGGAGCACACTCGAACCTTCCCGTTCCCATTGCCCTCGCCCATCTTCCGAATGGCTTAAGAGCAGAGCCATCACAAAATATAAGCAACTTGTGCCCAAGCAAAGACTTCCAAGAAGAAACCAAGGAGCATGTGGCAATGAACTCATCTTTCTCTGCAACCGTGTCTCTAAAGCGTTTTTTTTACAAAGTGGGTTGCTCTCCATGATTCTTATGCTTCTTAATGTTTCTTTAAAGGTTGCCTCAGGACGGCCCCCCAATAAAGTAGCAGAACTCATGGCTCCTGTCAAAACTCTTCTTTGAAAAACGTTTCAAAGTCAAAGCCAAAGCCTGCAGAAGACTCAGTCCAAAAAAGCCGTCGGAGTTACGGGAAATAACGCCGGAGTTACGGGAAATTACGCCGGAATTACGGGAAATTACGCCGGAGTTACGACGTGCCATTTTTTGACAACTCTCTGCAAAACATTGAGATTCTGAACAACACATGTTCCACAGCCCAAAACTTGTCCGGCAGGCTCTGCAAACCTGCGCAGCTAGAACTATATCCCAGCGCCCCGACATCCTGAAACAATGGGAGTACATTTTTGCCTATGCTCTTTCAGCTTAGGTACGCCCACTTGGGTCTTTCAACAGGTGCACCGCACTGTACCGGCTTCATCCGATTTCATTTAGAAGATCACCTAAACGATCTAAACGGATCTGATTGATCCAGTGTGAACCATGCTGAAACCGATGGAATCAGAAAACAGCGGAACAGGCAAACGAGCACACTTTGCAAACAAATAATTGCATCAGTAGTGGGTTTACCTTCAAAGAAATGCAGACCACAAAGAATGCAAAGCCTTGAGAATCCACATAAAGTGACTTGGAAAAAGCGCCGGACCAAATCCAGAAAAACGCCGGAGTTGGAAGTCCGGCGCCGGACCCTGTAAAAGTGCCGGACTGAAGATCTAGGTATGGCATACATGGAGTGTCTGGGGTATACAGTAGTACTCAGTACTGTACTCAGTATACTATATACTAATGAGGTTGACAATCCGTGTCTGAGAGGGGTCAAATCTGATCGTCACAGTCTGCATCAGTCTGCATTGCAGGTAGCCAGCTAATTTGACAGGGATCCTTTGGTCTTGACTGTAAGGGAGGCTTTGGTCGTGGCTGAGAATTGGTGGCTTTGGTCGTTCTTTGGCCGGCCCATGGACCGATGTCGTGCCTGCTGCATGGAGTAACAAGAAGCTGCAGCTGAGGGCATTACTACTAACTACTACTCAGGGCGCTAGTAACAAGTGGTCACTAGGCATTACAAGTACTCCGGTGCGGTTTGTGCCTTAGCGGCGGAACTCGCTCGTTTGTGGAGATCGCCGGAACTGGACGGACTTGTGCCCCGACTCCTGGGACGCCCGACCACAGCAAGGATGAAAGGGCTAATGGTCAACGCCTCGGTCGAAAGGAGGCTCGAAACGGTCACAACGGTCACAACGCCTCGGTCACAACGAACGGTCGTGACCTCATGTGAACGGTCGCAGAGCTCTGCTCAGTCGTTGGATCATCACTCCCGAGCCGGAAATCTGTCAAAAGGACAAAGGTGTGAACCGAAGGAACTCCACCTGTTCGACCTCGTTCTTGTTCAGTGAGTGAGGAATCCATGAGCCCAATAAAAGGTTAAAGGATGTTGGTTATCCACTGACTGGGTCGGTCTCATAGTCCTTTACTATTGCGGTTTGATGTTTTGAGTGCCACGAATTTCTGTGCCGATTAAGAAGGGCGCCTGAGCTGAGTTTCCTCCGGTGATGGCAAAGCAAATTGATGACACCAAAAGCCCGGCACCTGTGACAAGGAGCTGAAACCACAACCCATTTCTCCTACTTTGAAGGATGAAGCTATTGGTGCAAACAAAGAAATTGCCCAAACATGCCACACAGGCATAGGTGGCAAATTCCACGTCACATCGTTCTCAACAGTCATGACAGTGTTTGTCCATGCCAACAGCAGCTCATCAGAAGTCTTGTCAGTAAAAGAAGACTGTCTCAACCTGTCTCAACTGTTAGAGGCGAAGGTCATTCCGATGTCAACACCCCACACCTAGAGAGATCCAAAGCGTGGAATTGTCCTGGTGTGTCGGGCTTCAACGTACTGAAATCAATCTGAACCCACTTCTGGAACCGACCAGCGACAAACCTACCTGGACTGGACGTAGTAAAGATCCCTGGAAGTTGTAGTGGAGTGTGGTCCAGTGGGGCGACCCATTGGATGGTCTTGGTACGGGTTGCGTATCGGTTGCGCCAAAGAACCATGTACATACCTGTGAGACTCACCTAGTCTACTTCGTGGGCCTGGCGAATCAGTCTGCGCGGGAAGGTGTGCCCATGATGTTCACGCTAAGAGACAAGAACGAAAACAACTGACGCAAACCCCCAAAAACTGGGACACCAAAATGAGGTGCCCGAGGTGCTTGGCGACTACCCAACTCTTCATTCCTGGGGGGTATCAGACCAGCAAACATGGCGTTTGGGTGCTTGTGTGAGGTTGTCTCTCTCTCTCTCTCTCTTGAAATACAATTGACATACACCTCTTTGCTACAGAAGGACCAACCTCTGTGACGGACATGCAGGACAGTCAGGGGCAGGATCAGCGGGAACATTCGAATGCAGTTTGCAGGGCAATGCAATCATGTCTCCGAATATGTGGTTGATCATGTTTGTTGACGGGAATCAGCATGACTCACTGATGGCGAGGTTCGTCTCACATGGTCATCAAATGAGTCCTTGAAGAGGGTGCCCTGGCAAATTGACAGCCTTGGGCTGCGACAGAACAGCACAAAACAAACCAAAACAAAGAATCAGCAAGGTGGCATAAGGTAGCAAAGAAGAGAAGCCTTCAAGAGGCAACATATGCGCATGTTCAGAAGACCAATAGATCTGGTCGATCCCGTTTTGTTTCCTTTTGGGCAGCCAGAACTATTTCACGAATGGATCCCCCAAAAAGACTCTTGGAGACAGCCGATGTGAGTCGAGCCGACACTCTCAGTGGCGGACAGTGAAACGAGCACAGACAGCACCGTGCAGCTGGTCAAAGAACTGGCCTCGCCTGCGAGGCCCAAGAAGCTTCTAGTAGCAAGAAGCTACTAGGTGGAGGCCATCGCTACTAGGAACAAGAAGCTAGTAGTAGCTATTTGCTACTAGTAGTGCTGTACGAACTGCGCATCCTGTCACGTTGAACCACATTCGGCTGCACGATCTAACGGCGCGGGTGTTTAGGTCCGATTTCGGGCGGGCAGCCGGCAGCCCGGCGGCTGCGGATGGATGCATCGAGGGCAACCATCGAATCCAACAGATTTCGTGCTTTCAGACTGACTCAGGTCTCACTGATGACATGAGATCCAGAACGAAGAAAAAGCACCTTAAGAACAACGAATGGCACCAGAAATCCTCCACCATAAAACCTTTCGAAGCCGAAGGCATCCTGAATCATCCAGGTTAAGCCTTCACGGCTCAACCTGGACATTTCATGAACTTCCACGTGGACCTTTGTCGCACCTGCTTGGGACGTCGCCAGATACCGACAAAGGTCAAACCTGGGCGACGGACGGCGACCAAACCCTGCCTCGAGGTTTGTGAGGAATTTTGAGGGGTCCAAAACGGTCCATAACCCCAAGTGGCCCAACCCCGGTCCAAAATGGACCTAAAAACATTCTAAAAGCTATATATTGATCTATATTGACTGAAGGGTCCAGACATGTCGACCCGACCCTAAGAGATTGGAGGTCGAATCTTGGACCCGTCCGTTACCTCAGGCCAGCGCTCAGTGTAAAATGCCAGGATCAGAAAGAGAAGCCCGGGAATGGTTGTGACGATTTGTGGTAGCACCTCCGGAGATCACCATCGGACTGCGGGACACTGGACCTCATGCAGATCAAGTTTCCCAGATCAACATGCCCAAAACCACCTCGGGTCGGTCTTCCGAAACATGGTCGGTGTTCATTCTCAGGGTCCATGGGATCGTGGAC